TTGCTGAAATGCCACAGAAATAAAATTTTAATCACAAATACCTAAGAGCAATAGGCAACAAAAATAATCATATGACTACATGTACATGCTAGCTGTAAACTCATTATGGCAGACATTGCTAGGCTATATTCTGTGGCGCTATGTACTAGAGGCAGATGTGGCATAATTTTTTCTGAAGGTTGATTCCTTTCTTCATGTGCTCAGGAAATGGCAGCTAACTTATCCTTGGGGATATACAATAGCATTCTCATACACACTCTATATAGTGGCATTGTGCTTCGTTAACAGGGTGAAAATGGGCAAGTTAGCCATTGGAAGATGAGATATTGACTAAAATGGAAATTGACTGTAAATATTGAGTAGGGAGTGAATGGCATGCTGTTTTGTAAATTTCCAAGTAACCATTTTGATGGTTATAGACTGACACCAAATAAATCATGCCAGTATACAAAATCTCAACTGTAACTCCTGAAAAAATACACCCTAAAAAAAACACTTATGTTAGAATGCAAATAGATTGCTAGTGGTTTAATATATCTGCTTGTCAGCTATTTATCAAAGCTTTTAAAAGTGATTATTGTAAGCAAGAAAGAGGTACAAAATATTGAAGTACCGTATACTGTCCTGTAATATATGGCACATAGTCATAGATACTACCAGAAGTTGGCTACAGTCTTGTCCTTATTTTTTTTTATAAAGATCATACCCACAAATTACAGTAAATATCTCTCTGAATAGGTGTTTGTACATGTGGTTTTCACTTTATCTTTAATAATCTGAAGAACATCATTCTCTTTTCAAGAATAACATGAGTCATACAGTTGTTCTGTATAGCTGTTGTGAAATGCCATTTAAAGGTACTATGTCCCATTTGCAGGCCAAAAAAATGAAAAAGTTAAATTCCAACTGCATTTGAAAGATAATACTAATTTAGAACTTCCCTAAAAAAGGTGGGGCTTGAAAATGTCTTCAAGTGGGAAAATAACGACTATTAGTTGTCAAATCGACTTTAGGGCTATAGAGCCCAAAAGTAATAGTCTTGATTTTCAGACGTTTATTGCTGCGCAAAGATTCAATCACTTTAATCTTGGCCATCACAAGAAGTGGTTTATTGATGTAGACAAATGCTCATGTACCCTTTACAGCTCATTTTATGTATGTTATTACCAAAGAAGAAAACAAGCCAGTCAGTCACTCAATAGTGTCTGACAGTGAAGTCTAGCAAGTAAACGGGTTTCCTTGCATAATTTGAATATGAGGACACTGCTAACGTTTAAATTTCACAGATAAGACATACATGACATATTCATAATTCCTGCAAAGTTCTACAGCATTTGAGGTTGGCTGCAAAAGGGACATAGTACCTTTAAAGTGCTCAACTAAAAAAGATTCTTAAAAAAAAGATTATTCACATTCTTCACTTTATCATTCTATTTCTATAGCTAGAGCAGCTTATGTTTCTTTTCAGCTTTGCAATTTGTAAGCTGTCAACCTAACATGATTAACAACATCATCATGTAATGAAGTTCTCTTAATCCGCGGCTCAGACAAAATTGTGTTTTTCTTTGGCTTGTGGGGGAGACATTTATGAAAATGATACTAACCCCCTGACCCGAAAAGTACTACAGTCTCTGGTCTAGCTTAGTGAAGGGATGTTTGCTTTTTACCTTGATACAATGGTCACCATTCTTCCATTTCTGGTCGATTGCACTCAGATTTCCGCTTGTACAATCAACCCCCAGATCAATATTTCATTTTTTATCTCTTTTGTATATTTGTTGTGTATTACATCAAAGTGTTTTCATTTATTTTGATTAAAAATGCTATTTAGTACCAGTCATTTATTTTTTTCTCCCCCTTCTGTTATCCTTTGATTTTTGACAAGTATTTTAGGTTACAAAAGGCGGCATTGGTGTACTAGCAATCGCTGTCACATCTCGTTTGTGTTCATCATGTTGATTAATGTATGAAGCTGGGTGGTAATTTGCTAGAAGATATAATTTGTTGAAAATGTAAATATTGAATACAAGCTAATCAACAACCTAGATTACTTTTTGAATAGCTACTGGTTGGTGACATATCTTCCCAAATTTCCTCTCTCTTTTCCCCTCTTTCTTTCCGGCCCTCTGTGATGTTTACTTCCATTCATTTTCTCAGTTCGTAAAGAGCTGTCACCCTCATTGTCAGTTATCATTTGTAACCAATTGTAAAGGTTTAGATTCAAAAGAATATAAATTCAAACAGAAAATCATGTCAGGTGTACAAACACTCAACAAATGACTATTTGAGGGGGTGGAATGACTGTTAAAGTCAAATATAAGATATTTAAATGCATTTGAGATGGTGATATATCTGACAATATATCCCATTTTCTTGTTGCTTGTATCATATGATCTAGTACACCCTACTTCATATGTATACATAATGCTTAAAGGATGCATTTCATATGGGGAAAAAAGAGTGGATCTGCCAGGAAAACAATCTGCATAATTTTGAAGCTGTCAGTCATAGGGATACTCAAGTAGTTTGCCCATTTCTCCTTCCTATTTCAACGTACTCTACTCCTCAGGGGACCAGCGGCATCATGGCGGGAAATGTGTTATGTTCACACAATCACAAAACATTAAAGGAGTAATGTTTTATTGAGCTTTTTAGATTCAGGCACCTAGATCGTTGGTTTGTTTCTCATTTGCATCACAAATGAATTTGTAATTCATTATTGAAAAATCTATTCTTTATTAATGAAATATCTACTATCACATTTTTTTTTCTTTTTTGATGTGAAATCAAGAAAAGTCAGATTTATAACCCAATTATTAACATGGTTCTGATTTATAGGTCTACATACAGAACATTGACGGTTCTAGTCAAAATATGGAGATAAAGCAAATAGTCCATGTCAATGCCATTTGCACCATCTCCAGTAATATCAGAGAATGATTTAAGAATATTTGAAAACCCTTAAATCATAATTTATTCCATATGGAGGGATTTGATGTCGATCATCTCCTAATAATCTATTAATCTGACCAAAGGAAAGTGAAGAAAAGACCATTCTGATATTGGATTATTGAGAAGAGACAGATGTCTGGTGACTAGGGCATCCATGATGTGTGTAAACACTCCAATAAATCTTGAAGATTCAGGATGCTTCATCTCTCTCCTAGAGGCTTCATTGATGCACCATCATGATCATGGAATTTAAGAGGAGATGAATGGAGATTAGGCTTGAATTCAGTTATTACAAATTATTCAGAGCACCGGCACATTGTGCAGATATCACTCTATGAATGGCAAGAATCAGTTTAGTATCAGTGTTATTTGGGAAAATGTATTTTAATCTTTTTTAAAGATGTATTTTACATCATAACTGCTCATTTTTAGTCACATATTTATATTTTGAAATTTATAAGTCCCACTTATGATATATCTACTATTTATGTTCTGGAGGAATACTGTATACCGGGTATGTAGATATCCCTTTAATAAAGATAACACCTCATGCATAGTTGCTACTTCTATTGAAACTAATTTAATTCTTTCTCTTTTACACACACAAAAATACAAAAGGAAAAAAATAAATAAATAAATGTGAAATAAAAATATTGAGGTTAAAAAGAATAATTCAGCACATCCCCACATCCATCCTGTGAACAAAACATGTGTTCATGCATGTAGTAGAAACACATATTCACAATCATTTTCATATTACACTGCTTCCCTAGCTTCCCCTCCCTCCCATGTACACATCAGCGATTATTCACCTGCGCGCAAAATTTGATTTGTATCCACTAACTCGGGAAGCTCTCGGAGCATCGCACACAGGGGGGTTCCTGGGATACGAAGTGCTGTATCGATGGAATTACAGCTTGATTGTGTTATCATTGCTGTATGATATGACATTTAATCAAATAAGCGCAACCTTTATTCTCTCTTTTCTATTGTTGTGCTAAGAGTAGTAACTGAGAGGGCAGAATGCAAGGGGAAGAGGATTTTTTTTAGGTCATGACTATAATGTGATGCCCCCGCTGTGCTAAAATTGTTAATTCTACGGAAGCCCTATTTTTGTGTGTGTCATACCTTCCAGCTAGCTGCATTGCCGTGTGATAGAATGATTTGAGTTTATTCATACCTTCTAAGTCAACATATCACTTATCAAAGACATTTTAATGCACTTGAAAAGAGGTTTCACACCCAATCACCCTGAAGTCATGTGGTAAAAAGTTACGCATTTATTTATGCTGGTGCACAATTCTTCAGTCCTGTAGACTTTTCATTTTGGTTGGCTGTTCGAGCAGATTAATATTTGATCATAAATACTTTGGACGGTTTTCAATCATAAAACCCTTAGGCAGCAGTGCCACTGGGCCTATGAAGAGTAGAATGAAACTGATTGTGTATAGGCTACATGATGAAATACATGGCATCAAAGCTGTTTCTGTATTTTGTAGAGTTTTCAAAGATGGTGATGATTTTGATGTGGGAGTTGATGATAGGGGTAATAATGGTGAAAATTATAATGACACTGAGAATCCCAGATGAATGAAAACTTCTCTGATAATTAGTTTGATGATTGAAGTGTAATGAGCGCCATAAACTGTGCCCATTCTTTCAAATAAAGCCCCTGATTGGCCGAAGATGTCAGGTGACGAAAGAAGGTTGTGATCCGTAACAGACAACTCTCCTTGACTTACTGTCTCTGTCTCATGATGGGGCATCCATTACTATATTAGTCATCATCTACCCATTTTGTTCTATCATCAATCACCCTCATCTAGACCATCAGGAGGGCAAGCCTAAGACAAATTTACAGAGTAAGATGGTTGTATGCTGGTGTGTTAGTGAGACCAGGAGGAAAAGTGGGAGGAGGAGGAGAGAAGAAGGATGGGAGAAGGATAGGAGAAGGATGAGGAGGAGGAAGAGTAAGGGAGGATATAGGAGAGAGACCATGCAAGAAACAAAAAAAAAAGAGTTTGGAAGAGACAAATTTACAGAGCAAGATGGTTGTATGCTCATGTGTTAGGGAGACCAAGAGGAGGAGGATGGAAGATGAGATGAGAATGAGAGAAGAATTAGAGAAGGATGAGGAGGTATACCAAGGAAGGAGGTTATGGAAGAAACCAGCAGAGGGTGTAGAGTTCAGAAGAGACACATTTATAGAGCAAGGTAGTTTTATGCTAGTATGTTATTGAAACATAGAAAAGGGGAGGAGGATAAACTAAAGAAGAACATGAGAGGAGATAGGAGAGAGACCATGAGAGGATGAAGAGTGCAAACTCAGAGACAAATACAATGATGGAAGGAGAGAGGATGGAGAAAGAGTCAGCAAGGAATGATAATAAGAAGAGAGGGTTTTGTGGATGAAAGAACCAATGAGAATGAATCATTTTGAAGTACTTATATTTTAATCATGACCATTACTGCCCAGACAGTTTTCTGAATCCTCACTATTTCATGTTTTCATTCATAAGAACAAGGGGCGCATTTGTGAATAAAGCCTGCTACATACTTGAGTTGTCATGTCGATACATCATCTATTGTGTGTCATTATTGACCTAGTGACAACACCCTACTCTTCAGCTGTGCATGTTCTATGGCAATTAGGTGATGCGATCCATTTCGCCTTCTGCTCCTAATTACCCCCTTTTTCTCCTTTTTTCCCTCTGTCTCTCCCTGTTTACTTCTTTGTTATTCATTTACATTACATTAAAATCTCTTCTCTGTCTTATTTATTTATTCATAATTTAGCCGTTTTGATTTTGTGTGTCTATTTTTCATTCTATTTCCATCTCTTCCTCCATCTCTCTTTATCTTTCTCTCATGCACAAAAACTCTTAACATTGTTTTTGTAATTATTGTATTATCTCCTCACGTTTAATTCTATCATGCTATCACTTTCTCTCCTACTCTCTATCACAACCTTCCTCTGTTTTTCCCATTCCCACGTTCATTCTCCATGACATCCAATTCAATCTGGGCGGTTCTCTGAAGCAAGAAATCAAGGATCGTTCCAGTCTGTCATTACAACTAGATTGATCGCTGTACTTATCCGGCTTTTTGTGGTGATATTACGATTCGCAGTGTTTACAGAGTAAATTCCAGGGAAGTCCCTTGGTTGGTAGAGATGAGCGTTTGTAGTTTGCGCTTGTAGTTTTCGCTTGCTTTGGATCAAGCTTTTTTATTTACTCGATGTCATTGACATGCACTGCTTGTACTAGTGCACTGTTTAGAATTATGTAAATTAGTTGGTCTGATTTCCACTTTGAAAAGGCTTCATTAATAATAGCATTCATTCATGTTTGTTTAGTGATGATGTGAATATGAAAGCTAATCATTATGCTACTGTTCAAGTTGTTTGTAAGCCTTGGGCATGAAATTGCTATTTGTTAACTAGATCTCAGACAATGCTTACTGCTCCGTCTAGACAAGTTATTGTCTCATAGGGAACTGTACTTGTTTGGATGATAAAGAAAGCTGTTATAAGAAGAAATGCATTACTGAAAATTTGCTATTTTCTTGAAAGATTTAAAGAAAATACTCTGCTGTTATTAAATATGAACTTTCAGTCATTTCCTTTTTGGGGGGTTAGAGAGGAGGAGCTACAGTAAACCTATTATTTCTTTTCAGCCGTATCATTTTCAGTTGTCTCTGCTTTTAACTTTGTGTTCTTCAGTTTGTTTTCTTCAGTATAGGTCATTGGGGTATACAGCAAGTTATTTCCTTTGCAGAAATAATAGTTTCTTCATAGATCTGCTACAAGATGTTCAAGGAATCTGTGAGGTTCACGCTTTTACAATTTCAGAGAAGGAACCATAAAACTTCCGCTCCTTATATGGGGGTTATGTTGAGGGTATAAAAACAAAGGGTTTGTGGCTCAGTCCACATCATTATTCAGGTGGGACATGTTTCTTTCTGCACCTCGGTAATTTCAGAGGAAATATTTTGGAGTGTTCATTGCTAAGAAAACAAAGGTGTTAAATCACTGTTGACTCTACCAAGTCTCCCAGAACCAAACTTTCTCTTTTTTTCTCCAAACTCCACCATCCCCCTCAAAACGAATTTACCAGGTTCAAGCAACATCCCGGCATTGTCTATACGAGGTCAAGAACAAAGGAGGCCACACGTATTGCCGCCTCTTTATGCCCATCAATGCCCGCTCAGAGAGAGAGAGAGAGAGAGAGAGGGAGAAATAAAGATGATCTTATGTCGGTCGTCGGCAACTCTGCATTTATGATAACCCCGGTCGTACTCCCATTCCTCTCAATAGGAAACTGGGTCGATACCGGATGAAGATATTGATGCAGGGTCTCTGGCGTGGATCCCAATCGGCTACCACTCTTCCCTCTCTTCTCCGTTGCTCCCTTTAGTCCTGTATTCCGTTTGATGGCCAAACAGTAACTCAACCCCTGTGAATACACAGACCGACGTGGAAGTCTGGTTAGGGGTAGTCGCAGAACTCGTACTGCAAATATGTATTTTTTGGAAGGCCCATGTTTTCTACTATCCATCATAATGCTGGCTATCATAATGTTGTTTTAATAGCTTTTAGTTTTTTCCGTTAACAATGCCTCGACTGAAAAAATTTAAGGAACTTTTCACAAGACTTTTGCAGGTATATATAAAGTAATTAGTAATATTGTTATTATATTATGATATTATGATATCATATTTACTGATAGGGTCATTCCATGTCAAATCACCCAAAAAATCTGAAAATCTTAACCCGACCATTTTTGATTTTGATGAAACTTGGTTAACTTGTTGAGTGTGATCTCACAGCACCAAATCCCAAATTTTAGGTCAATCGGGTGAGGGGTTTGGGAGATACGGCCCACCAAATTTTGAGATTTTTTCAAAAATGGGGGTGGCGGGCCTACCTTTGAACCCTTGTATCTCGGGACCTAATGGGTCAATCTTCTCAAAATTTGTATTGTTGGAAAGGGTATTCAATAAGGATTCCAAATCTGCCGCCATTTTGAAGATTCGTACATGTTGGGGTACTTTGACCTCTTGACCTCAGATTTGACCTTGAAATTGACCTTGTGGATCACGTAACTTTGACAACATTTTTCATGAAATGTAATCTCTGACATGTTCACTAAAACATATAAAAGTTTCAGAGATATAATATTTTTTGTTTTGGAGCAATAAGGATTGAAAGTATCCATGCTCACAGATATTCACAATAAACCCTATTATAATGTATACAATACATGCAATATGCACAGTACAACATACATCTTCCACATGCTTTTTTGTTTTAGTCATATCCATCCTAAATGTCAGCAGTACTTGAATAGAAATAAAATGACAAGTTCATATAGGCCTAAAGGGTTAACAGGATGTATGGCTTTAGACCTCCGAGTCAGTTCTAGGAAAATCCCCCCCCCCCCGGAAAACTACCCTCTAAGGACAATTACCCCAGAGGACAATTACCCCCCCCCCCCCCCTATTTGTTAAAGGGGAAGTCCATCCTGATAATAAAGTGGTTTTAATCAAAGCAGATTTTTTTTTTTGGGGGGGTATAATATTCTTGAGGGGTAATTTTCCCGGGGGGGGGGGGGGGGGTAATTGTCCTAGGGGGAAATTGTCCGGGGGTTAATTGTCCTTGGGGGGCGGGGGGGGGGGGGGGACAGATTGTCCTAGGAGGTAATTTTCTGGGGGGTAATAATCCTCTGGGTGTGATAGTCCTTGGGGGGTAATTGTCCTCGGGGGGGGGGGGGACATTTCCTGAGGGTTAATTTTCCAGGGGGGTAATTATCCTAGAACCGACTCAGAGGCCTAATGCCATACATCCTGTTAACCCTTTAGGCCTATATGAACTTGTCATTTATTTCTATTCAAGTACTGCTGACATTTAGAATGGATATGCCTAAAACAAAAAAGCATGTGGAAGATGTATGTTGTACTGTGCATATTGCATGTATTGTATACATTATAATAGGGTTTATTGTGAATATCTGTGAGCATGAATACTTTCAATCCTTATTGCTCCTAAACAAAAAATATTATATCTCTGAAACTTTTACATGTTTTAGTGAACATGTCAGAGATTACATTTCATGAAAAATGTTGTCAAAGTTACGTGATCCACAAGGTCAATTTAAGGTCAAATCTGAGGTCAAGAGGTCAAAGTACCCCAACATGTACAAATCTTCAAAATGGCGGCAGATTTGGAATCCTTATTGAATTCCCTTTCCAACCATACAAATTTTGTGAAGATTGACCCATTAGGTCCCGAGATACAAGGGTTCAAAGGTAGGCCCGCCACCCCCATTTTTGAAAAAATCTCAAAATTTGGTGGGCCAAATCTCCCAAACCCCTCACCCGATTGACCTAAAATTTGGGATTTGGTGCTGTGAGATCACACTCAACAAGTACACTAAGTTTCATCAAAATCAAAAATGGTCGGGTTAAAACCATTGGGTGATTTGACATGGAATGACCCGATATACTAGTTTCCTTTGTATTCACATTCATTATGCATATTTTTGAAGTGGTATTACAGAAATATTGCAAGAATATAAAGTTCTTGTATCACGCAGGTAGCAGTTATCAATGCAGATGATGCAGCAAGGTGAGATCAATAGTCTTTGACGTGTCTGATTGATGAGACTAGGGGGACTAGTGGACACCGCTACCAAAAAGTCAGAGGTACAAAGCCACTTGTAACCATGCATTATTCAGACTGGGTGACCCCGGACACTCGCCCAGTGGTTCCCCCACTCCCGGAATCAGGGGGTCCCTAATGGCCAATTGATACTCCCCACGCTTTCTGGACTAAGTGGCCGTGTCCACTGCGTGCTGGAGTGGCGTGGCCACCGATGGATGATGCTAGCCGCAAACTCACTGGATGGAGGACACTTCTCCATCTCCTAAATTCCATCATCATCTCCTTCCCGCTTGCCCGTTCTGGTATCCCTCTTACTCACGCTTCTTCACACACCTCTACCGAGTTGGCCTAAATATGATACCTTCTCGCATTCTTTTCTCTTCACCTTAATATGCATCTCATTAGAATTCTTTAGCCCTTTCTTATTCTCTTCCTGTTGCGTTGGTCATTGGGGTGATGGTCCGAGGGTCTCCAGTTTCATTCAAATTCTGGTGCTTTGGTGGAAAGAGGCCAAGATTCTGTACCCACTTGGGGTGCAAGGCCATCTACATCTTTCAAGATGAATCA